TTAGGCATTTTGAGATACTATCAGAAACTGTCTGCTGGCTCAAGTTGTCACCAATATTTCTCAAAAACTTTTTTTTTATAGAATAAGGATAACAAACGAGCACACAGTCCTTCTGATGGTAAGTGGTGCTATTTTACGCTGGTATTCTGTGAGAGCGTAATCCTTCCTCAGCCGAGCCGACACAGTCGTGCTACAACTATACTATTAATATAGCTGCAGCATGGCTCCACCACGTCAAAAAAGTTTGTAATTTGGCACATCAACATATTGTGAAGCAATGTACTTTCAAGGATTATTATCTATTGATACTAAAACAAATGAAGACATGGCTTAAAAACCATTCATCCAAGCAAAAACTCTTCGTAAAAAAACTATATGACAGACACGGAAGTATAGACAAAACCCACACTCCTAATATCAACATTAGGAATAATCAAATGACCTTGAGTAACCCCTGTTTTCCCTACAGGATAGCCAACGTGACGACTGATATTACCCCATTGACAGCCATCAAGAATTTCAGTATAAGTTTAATTCTCAGTATGGCAAGATTTTAAGTAAAAAATGATAACGAAACTTGTCAAAAACGATTTTCACTTAAGTGTTTGCTGTTTCTTTTAAACACTTAATAAAGATTTATGATGAACTATTTGCCTAACTTCCTACATATTTCCCCTATTTTAGATTTATTCTTAAAAGCCGTTATATGACAACCCAAAATCTATTTGTCAAATAATTTTTACTGTACATGGCGGATGTTTATGTTCATTTCGCAAGTTTGTTTTTTGAATTTTGGAATAATGCAGAGGCAAAACTAGTAAAATGGTCATTAAATTTATTGTGCGCGGTTGCAAAAGTGAGTGGCATCCAGAATGTAATATTATATTTCATTCTTAAGTACAAAATACCATACAAATACTGCGCGTCATGTCAAACTGATTTTTAGTGATATTTTGACTTTAATTGCTATTATTTCTATATATAAATTTGGTTATTTTGGTTTAGATTTTAATTTTTGTTCGGTATTTCCAATTTTACTTCGCTATTTGCTTAATAATTAATTTTTCATGTTTGTATTATAATTTCGACTAGTGTGACCATATATTGTAATGTATTTTCAGGAAAAGGTTTTCTCGAATGGAATCTCTGCTCGATTTGCGTGAAATTTCGAAACGTTGTTTACACGAATGACGATACACTGAAACATCAAAGTTAAAAAAAATGTATATCTTTTATTACTTAATTTTTTGCAGGTTTCCTTCCAATCTAACAGAACGTAATAAATGGTTAAATAATGTGGAGCTAAAAATACCCTTTTTTGAAAAAGCAAAGATTTGTAATCTTTTTCATATCAACCAATTACATGATTACTGGGAAACAACTGAGTCAAGGAGTCACACCGTTTTTAAATGAACTTTTGTTAGGTACTTGTTATTTCTTATTTCAAAGCGAAGTTTTGTTACCAGGGAAGAAAAGTAATTTAAAAAAATATTTTTTCTGAGAAAGAAAGAAAAGTGCATTCTGTTACCTAGAAAATAGGAACAGCTTAATATGTTATATCACTAGGCTATACTTTGTAAAAATAATTACAAGCTATTTTTGTACAACATTTTGCTAAGTATTTAATTGTATTTAATTTTTTAAATGAAAATATACACATTTAATCAAAATTGCGGTCTCAGGAAATCAATTTTTTGACACGTTACACGTATATAAGTGCTATCGCTATAAATAAAGATATAAATATAAAAAAAAACAATTTTTGTTTTCATGTTTTTAAATGTAGTTCTAATTTATTATACAATATGCAACTTTGCTAAACGTTGAGATCTTAAGACGGTCTTTGGCCTATTTTAATTGCAATGTGGGGCTTTCCAATTGGAATCCGATCTCAAATACTGATGATACTAATGATGAAATCGAAAACCACTTGCAGGCTTTGGAATCACAAAACACCCATAGGGATTATCAGAAAACTATTCTTTATTATATTACTGGTTATATAATAAAAATTTTGTCAAACAGCTGAAATGTAACGATTGTAAAAATTTGCTAATTGCTGCAGATCATTTAGAAACCGATCATTTATACGTTTTGAATGTAAATAAATATCAATCATCTACAACATTTGTAAATAGAGGTAAATTGCATATTCCATCTGCAGAGGTGTACAAAATTGTCCTTTTTGCGGATAAAATATTTAAAAGGGCAGCAAATATGAATAGTCTGAGTCAAGCTTAAATTAAAAATGTATTAATCAATATTATTATTCAACACTTCACACCACAGTTGCGACCAATGTTATATTTATAAAAATATAGTGTATTTTATAAGTGGTAGAGCCATGCTGCAGCTATATTAGTAGTATAGTTCTAGCACGAATGGGAATAGAAACAGCTCGACCGGGGAAGGACCTTCAACAGAATACCAGCGTAAAATAGCAGCCTAACGCTGTTGTGTTTCGTATTGTGAGTGAAGAGAACCGGAGACCCTTTTTACTGGAAATGAGGCATTCCATCTTAGTTCTCACGGGTGACAACGCATCTGCATTTTTATTTGTAATAGAGGATAGATGCAGATGTCTATGGGCCGCAGCAATCACTTACCATCAGGTGAACTGCATCAGCCTATGGATGACAGTATTAATTGCTCTGAATTTCATTAATCCAGAATTTAAAAATAGTTTTTTATATAGGATAGGGTGACAAACAAGTACACAGTCCACCTGATGGTAAGTGGTTGCTGTGAATTTGAAACTCTTTTTTGACCATGCGTCTCAGAACGCATCTAAAAGATTTTATGTACCAAAAGTTGAGTGCTGTTCGTACCAAGCGACAAAAACTTCACAAAACTATTCAATCATGTATAAAAATTGTGTTGTTGTAAAACCTTCACCTCTAGTTATTATTGTTGTATATTTTAAATTTGTAGACACTATTTCTATTGTAATATTAAATGTAAATAAAAACGATTATTATTTTAGTTTTATTATTTCCTAATGTTACATTATAAGGGATGTAAAGACATCCTCCCGAAAACTTTAACCATGAACTCATCATGACCATCATCCTGAGCAAGGTACTGAAGGAATTTCTTTGTGGAAATTAAAAAAAAATTGACTTCGTATACAAAATTGGTCACGTGACATTTTGAATTTTTTTTCATTTTTGGACAAAAATTATTTTAGATTTTGTTCAGGATGACGGTCTGAGCTCATGGTTAAAGTTTTTTTTTATATTGAACCCGTTCACTCGTTTATTCGTTTTTAAATTCGGTTATTGACAAAAAAGTACACGAATAAATATTAATTAATAAACTTCCGCCCGCAGCTTCGTCCTTATGAATTTTTTTAATATCATGCGTTTCAATGGAACTCTACTATTTTCTATTAAAATAAAATTTTATATGTGAATATAATAATAATAAACTGATTTTTCCCCATAATATCCCAAATTATTGTATATTGTGTTAACCCTAATTAGAAAGAGACTGAGGGGTAATGAAAAATTTCAAGGTCGTTTTCTTGTATTTTTTATGTCATTCGAGAGTGCGGGTTCCAGTTTGTACAAAGTACATATATTTCCATGATGACAGACAATTGTTGTTGTTGTTGTTGTTTTTTTTATTATTCGCTCGAGAGAGCAGGCCAAGGAACTAAGCCATACAGCCTTGTGTTTTTTATTTTGAATATATAGAATTTTAAGCTTCGCAATATGTTGATGCGTTACATTGTGCAGCCCTTGGGAGATTTTGACGACAACTTGAGCCAGCAGACAGCTGAGAGTTGCCGATGGTATCTAAAGGCGTCTATGCAAACAAACAGCTTATCTTGAGAATCCATCACCATCAGAGCACTTGTTTCACCGTTTCCACTAATAGTTCACATGTAGAGACAGTTACCTAATACATAAAATCGCACCACTTTTACATATTAAAATCCACTTCAAACTATAATACAGGAGCAGCAAACCGCCGCCGGTCAAGTTCCCGCCAAAACTCTCATATGCCAGACAACTATTGACAAGAAGTCAATTTGACATTCCTAGAATTCCTAGTTCCCAATAGGGACGGGCATGGCAAAAAAATATAAATCGATATTTTTTTACTGTAGCGATATATAATGCGTGATAAAATATCGATATATCATCATCATTTGCAAGATGTAAAGATAAGGTTCAAAATTTTATATTACTGACGGTTAGACGCCAAAAAAAATGACAACCAACAACACATGAATACTTGTGTACCTCCGTTGTCGATACTCTAAAATAAAAATCGATATATCGCGAATTAAAATATTGACGATAAATATCGTTATATTTAATAAAAAATATCGATATTTAGATATTTTTTGTCCAAGTCTAGTTCGATGTTTAGCCTACTCAAAACATCGATGTTGACCATTATCGATGTTTTTTATGTATGTGTAGTTACTTACATATTGTTTTAAAATTATGTGGGTATACACAGAAAGGCAAAAAGTAACAGTTAACAATATCAATTTACGTAGAATAGTTATTATGCGACAACCGATAACGACACTACAAAATAAAGCGAAAGCAGTGACCACTGTGACATTACAGGTGACACTTGATAATTAAGTTTGACACACCATAATGATATTTTTTTAGGTTAGCGATGTGCTCAGGAATTCTGAATTATTCAAAATTTTAAATCTTCAGAGGAGATGCTAGATTAAGTTGGTATTGATTTCGCGGCTTCGCATTGTTCGCAAGTTCCCAATAATCGACTATAGGTTCATTGACATCGATGTTTCGATGTTTGACATGTGTCAACATCGATGTTAAAACATCGATGTGTTAATTTTTAACATCGGTGATCATCGAACATCCCTAGTTCAAAACCGTTTCAAAACAAAACAAGTCCAAGTTAAGGTTAAGGTTAGAATTTTACAAAGTAAATAAAATAAACTGAAGATAGTTCTGTTAATTTAAATATATATTCTATTGTATTTAAATCAAATATCTACTCGACATAAAATGACTAGTAAACCTAATTCTAAGCGGACAATATATGTAGGCGGTTTAGCAGAGGAAGTTGATGAAAAAGTTTTAAATGCTGCTTTTGTTCCTTTTGGTGATTTGGTTGATGTACAAATACCTCTAGATTATGAGACTGAAAAACATAGGGGTTTTGCATTTATTGAGTTTGAAAATGCCGAAGATGCTGCAGCAGCAATAGATAATATGGTTAGTATTTCCTCCTTAGTTCCATATACCATTACGTGTAATTACCGCAAATAGAAAATGAATGACGTTATGGATATATGGTGGATAGGAATTATTGGATTACTATATTTACGTGCTAAATATTTTGCATAGTGCAAATTCATATGATATTATTCAACATTACAATCACTTGTACAACATAATATTATAAAATAATAATAAAAAAGAACTGTTGTGCTGGTTCTTTTCAGGCCAAAAGTTTTTCCGAACCTGTGGTAAAATTAAATGACTAAATAATTATTGTTGTAATTTCTTTACGTGGTAGTTATGCAGCAGCTATATTAGTCGTATATTTGTAGCACAAATGGGTCCATTAGACCGGGGAAGGACCACACTCTTACAGAATACCAGCATAAAATAACAGCTTAATGCTGCTGTGTTTCGTATGATGAGGGTAGAGAACTGGAGACCATTTGTACTGGAAATGAGGCATTCCATCTTAATCCTCAGAGGTGACAACGCATCTTCATTTAATTTGTAATCGAGGATAGATGTAAGTATGTATGGGACTGTGCGCTTGTTTGTAACCCTTATCCTATAAAAAATATTTTAAATAAATATTCTTATATCTTTCATTATATATCAAAAATATTAGTGTTAGTAAAAATTTTGTTTGATACTGATAAAAACATGTCTGGTTTGTTGTTTGTCTGAATTTGATCATCATCACTATCATTACAGTTTATTAAAGTCCTCTTGTAAACATAAACCTCCCACATAAATTGCTACATGGGGATATTTGCAACTGCTGTTTTATACCGACTTCGAAAAGGAGGAGGTACTCAATTTGACTGTATGTTCTTTTTTATGTGTTACCTCATAACTTTTTTCTAGGTGAACTGATTTTGATGTGTTTTTTTATTTGAAAGCTGGTCCTATATAAATTTGATCAAGGTCTGACCATTCGTTTTGGAGTTATTCTTAATAACTTATATTGAAGTTGGTTGTACAAATTTTTATTATGTATTTAATTATGTTTCAGTTTCTGTTTAGAATTTGTTTATAACTTGACTATAACACTACCTATCGGATCTTAGATGTAGCTATGAACCATTGTCTACACAAAATAATTATATTGTGTGAATATGACTGCAATCGATCAACATGGTAGAACCACACTGCAGCTATATTATAGTTGTAGCACAAATGGGTTGGATTGATCGCAGAAGGACCACACTCTCACACAATACCAGCAAAAATAGCAACTTAATGCTGCTGTGTTTCATATGATGAGTGTAGAGAACTGGAGACCCTTTTTACTGCAAACGTGACATTCCATTTTAGTCTTCTGAGGTGACATCAATGCGTTGTCACCACTGAGCAACCCCTTGTATTTCGATTCTAAATCAAAGATAATGATATCTATGAGCCACAGCATCCATTTATCATCAGGTGGACTGTGTGCTTGTTTGTCATCCCTATTCTATAAAAAAACTCATTTAGTAATTACACTATCACTTTCAGACGCATGAACTATTATATATTTTAAGATTTTGTTAAGAGAATGCACTACCTACTTTTTTTTAAGTATACTCAATTATATAATAATTTTAATAACATTTTTAAATATGACTATGTCTTCCTACATTGGTTTGTGCCTAGTTTTGAACTGATTAAGAAGTAGTCTAAATGTTAATAAAAAGGGATTGGTTTTCAGAATGACTCAGAGTTATTTGGAAGGACAATAAGGGTGAATATAGCAGCACCACAAAGAATAAAGGAAGGATCCACAAGACCTGTTTGGTCAGAAGACAGCTGGCTTCAGAAGCATGCTGGTGAAACTTTACCAATTAATAAAGAAGATGAAAAAGAAAGCACTACGGAGAAAACAGAAGATACCAGTGTAAGTAAAGTAAAAAATAATCAACAAGACACTGTAACTAATATTTTGGCCTTTTAAAAATATTAAATTGGACAATAATTTTTTTGTAAAATGTTTATTTCAAAAGTTTATTTCTAGGCAGATTTTCAATAAGAAACTAAAGCACCTGGCCTACCAGACTGCCACTCTAGAACCTTTCTTCCCCATCTGTTATCAGTTCTTTGAGCCATATGGAAAGCGAGTTTGGAGCAGGCCGCACTAAATGGAGTAATGTCCTGGTTAGAAATACAAGAAGTTGATGGATACATGTGGCTCAAAACTGTGCTTTGTGGCATTCCTTGGGGAGGCCTAAGTTCAACAGTGGACTTGAGAATGGTTGTAATGATGATGGTAACGATAATGACGGCCCAGTAGATATTGTCCTGCCCTTTCCGGTAGTTGGCACGATGAGTTTCACTTCAAATTCACTTCTGACTGGGTCAATTGTTAATTGCAATTTTAAGTACTAATTTACCACTTGTTCAATGGAAAAAGGAAAACTAGCGGAAACCTGAATATTTGAGGAATAAAAATATTGAAAAAAAAAAAACTCAAAAGTGTGAGCTGACCTGTGCCCACTAGTGGTAAATATAAAATTTATCAATAACACAATTGGCATTGTGGTCAGGTATCTGTAAAACAACATACCTACTTTGTAAATACAGGCCATTTTGATCCATAAATATAGAATTTGTCAGTAACTCAACTATAGTACAACCTATCCCCTGTTATAGTTATTAACTATTTGTGTTGTTAACCTGTTATTAACTATAGTCTTGATCAAACAAATATATTGTGCAAATATGACCATAACTGGTCAAGTTGTTCAGAAGTTACTACAGACAATCACTAACAGAAACACTAACAATTATAGGTATATAAAGATTAGTTTCATCATCATTACAGGTCTTCACAAGTCCACTGCCAAATATATGCCTCCCCCAAAATTACCACAAAGCATAGCCCTAAACGACCTGCATCCATTGACTTCTTGCATGCCTTACCAGGTTGCTACAATTTGGTAAATAAACTTTTTTGATTTAGGTAGTGTGCTAACACCCCTTTTGCCATGGAATGATATACAATTGGATTCACTCCTGACCTTGTTGACCAGTCTCAGATAGGTACAAATGTGAACCATGAAAATAGTAGCAATATGCACATCGAAATCAATGGGCCATAAATGACCCATTGATTTCGATGTGCATATTGCACAATAAGAGAGTGACTTGCATCAGTCTTCCCAGACCCAGACAGACACAGAGGCTATATTGATAATTGCTGCATGAATAATTTAATATTAATAGTAATTGGCTTTAGAGAGTAATTTATTACTTTTACTAAAATGTCTTAAAATTAAATACTTATTTATTTTAAAGTAAAAGGATTGATGACAAGTTTTATAGTTCATACTCTTATTCATAAGGCAGCTGTTGCCATTGTAATTATCCGGTCAGGTTCTGGGTTTGAATCTGTTTTGAAAAAAATAATTTTCTGCTCTGGATATTTTTGGATTTGTCTGTATTTTTATGACTCTTCAACTGTCACATACATTTTATTTGAACTATATGATCTCTGGTATCATCATACGATTGAGTGCCTTTATATCTTTGGCATAATATGTATATCCTGTATACTCGATTATGCTAATTTGTTGGTTGTGAAATTGGTTATATAAATCGTCAAAATATAAGGAATACTTAATTTTTCCAGGTAATACCAGCCAAACCTGCAGAGAAACGCAATCCTCAAGTTTACTTTGACATCTGTGTTGGGAAACAGGAACTAGGAAGAATAATAATGATGCTCAGATCAGACATAGTACCAAAGACAGCAGAAAACTTCAGAGCACTGTGCACGCATGAAAAGGGTTTTGGATACCAAGGAAGCAGTTTCCACAGAATTATTCCTAATTTTGTATCCTTTTTCTACCGACTTCAAAAAGGAGACGGTACTCAATTCGTCTGTATGTCTCTTTTCTTTTTTTTATGTGTGTTACCTCATAACTTTTACTGGGTGAACCGATTTTGATGATCTTTTTTTTATTTGAAAGTTGGTGCTTCTCATGTGGTCCCATATAATTTTTCATCAAGGTCTGACCTGTCTGACTGTAAAATTTTAAGGCGATAGGCCACGTGGAAATAGAAATACTCATATATATTAAGATTTCTCTACATTAACTGTATATATTCACCAACTTGTAACAGTTATTTATTTTTATTCTCATAGGCTCATTTACAAGCTTTTATGAATAGTCGAGAGAAATAAAAAAAATACATTTTAACAAATTAACTTTAACATAATATAACAATTTTAATCAATGTTAAATGCAATCCTCCTCTGACCAGGAGTCGCCGATTCTAGAGCGGATTTCTTGTATATCTCTTAAGTCTCATTTAGATTATAAATGAGGCTCTAATTGTCGGACGCCAGAATTTCTTTGTTACATTTCCCATAGTGCCATTTTATGATATCCATGGGACGAAATGGAGTTATGGATTCTTATACACCACTTGTAAATGATGTTAAAGTACAAATGGGTCCGCTAGACAGGGGTAGGATTACACTCTCATTGAATATCAGCGTAAAATAGCAGCTTAATGTTGCTGTGTTTCGTATGGTGAGTGTAGAGAACCGGAGACTAGGAAACGAGGCATTCCATCTTAGTCCTCAGTAGTGACAACGTATCAGTAGTCATCTTTGTTTGAAACTGGTTGCACATGACCATGCGCAGCAGTATCCACTCGTTTGGCTGGGCTGTAAATGCGTTAGTTACTTTAGTTTTCGATTTATTTTAAAAATCATGAAAACATATATTTAGATGCTTATTAAGCTAATTGGTTACCATATATTTAATAATTTAAAATTAAAAATTTTGTGAATTATTAAGAATAACTCAAAAGCTATTGGTCAGACCTTGATCAAATTTATATGATACCACATGAGAAGCACCAGCTTTCATATGAAAAAAATAATCATCGAAATCGGTTACAACCCATCTGAATTTTGATCCTTAATCGAGGATAAATGTCTATGGGCCACAGCATCAATTTACCATCAGGTGAACTTTTATCATCCTTATCCTTATTCTATGATAAAAACTTTAGTGCCATAATTTGTCCTTAATGTAACTTAGATGTGTCAAGGAGGTGATTTTACTAATCATAATGGAACTGGTGGAAAATCAATATATGGCCGGAAGTTTGATGATGAAAACTTTACACTAAAACACACGGGTCCTGGTATATTGAGTATGGCAAACTCGGGGCCTAACACAAATGGATCACAGTTCTTCTTATGCACTGCAAAGTGAGTACTATAACTATTTTCCTTTTTCTTGTATTTTCTTCATTTTTTGTGCCCACTAAAGTCAGTTGAGATTCTGTAAATTTATTGTACTCCGATACAGGCTTGCTTGATGATACCTTAATGATTTGTGTTTACACAAATACAACACATTGAATAAAATTAATTTTAGGGATATAATCGCGTTTTTTAATTGACTTATTTTTAATCCTCCCAACGTTTCGTTAACTTAAAGTTTAGCCAACTTTTATAATGTTAGTTAACAAAGTTAAACAACTTGTTTTTATAAGTTTAGAGTGACAAGCAAGCTAACGGACCTCTCAATGTTAAGTGGCTATCTGACCATTGTACGCTACTTGGGACAAAGAAGGCCACAACTGCGTCATCATCCCCGAGGACTAAAATGTCATGCCTCACAGTCTGTATTTATACAGGCCTTCTCTTCTGATAAATAACTATTATTTATAATCTATTAGCGGGCCCGGTACACGTTGTCCTGCCCAGAAAACAAAAACTAGAAACCGATTACAGCGCCACTTACCCATTCAAACACATACAAATATTACATCAAGATTGATCCAGCTGTTTAGTGATAAACACACCTACAGAAGAAGTATAATTTATATAAAGATATTAATTTATATAAACACAGCTAGATGATTGCATCCATTTTTCTGTAATACCAACATTCCGTTAAATACGTAGCTCGTAAAAATATGGAAGGAAATTTTAATTTTGAATGTCCATCATTTAATTCTTAGTAACGAGCAGCTATTGTCTCAATTGTCTTTGTGACAAAATAAAGTAATTCTTTCTTCCCCTCAATATTTATTTATTTTTTTGTTTGCAGAACTGAATGGCTGGACAATAAACACGTCGTATTCGGCCATGTTATATCAGGGTTAGATGTGCTAAAGAAAATGGAGAAATACGGGAGCAAAGGCGGGACAGTTTCTGCCAAAGTTGTTATAAATAATTGTGGAGAATTACAATGATTTTACACGTTTTACTGTAGTTTTAATTATGTTCACTTTATTAGCCGTGCAGTGTTTTTCCCACAGTAGGAAGAATTTGCTAATGCCACTCAGCGGAATAGAGTTCCAGCATCTTAGACCTATGATACGTTTCCCCGAAGCTAATTCTTTTTAGCAGATTTAAAAAAAAACTAATGCCGTGTTTACACGCTTGCCAAGTCTTGGTAAGCATCCACAAGCACAAGCGTGTAAAGAGGGCGTTTGGCTTGGCTTGCGTGAGCTTGTGGACGCTTGCCCCGATCCGGTCTAGTGTCGGTTTTGGACACAGATCAAAGGGCGCCTTTCCACGCTTGCCAAGCCCCGGCAAACGTCTTCAAGCCCCAAGCGTCCACAAATCTCCTTTGGCGTTTGGAAGTTGTTTACATGCTTGTGAATGCGTCAGTGTGCTACGTATATCAAAGCATGGCGGACACCGAACTCGTGTCGGCTATTGCGTTTGGTTTAACATACTTTTATTTGAAATACAAGCAAAGTAATACAAAAACAAGGAATTTTTGGCTTTTCTTTTACTGGCTTTCCCGTTAACTCGGCAAGACGACTTCAAGCATCTGCAACTTTCTTTTTATTTTTATGATTAACGTCTTTGGGGTTCCAGATAGACGATTCGCTCTGGTAATATTCCAGAAACGATAAACTCTCTTCGTTCGACCAGTCACTCATTTTAAACAAAGAACTAAACATGCGCTCGTCGCGATATTACAATTTCTACTAAACGCGCACCAACGTGTGAATGCGTTGCAAGCGCTTGCCGCAAGCGCCCTTTGATGTGTGTCCAAAAACCGACACTAGCCCGGATCGGGAACAAGCGTCCACAAGCTCACGCAAGCCAAGCCAAACGCCCTCTTTACACACTTGTGCTTGGGGATGCTTGCCGAGACTTGGCAAGCGTGGAAACCCGGCAAAAGGACGCTTGCAGCAAGTTAGTGACGAGCGCATGTTAAGTTCTTTGTTTAAAATGAGTGGCTGATCGAACGAAGAGAGTTTATCGTTTCTGGAATGGTACCAGAGCGAATCGTCTATCGGGAACCCCAAAGACGTTAATCATAAAAACAAAAAGAACGTTGCAGATGCTTGGAGTCGTCTTGCCGAGTTAACGGAAAAGCCAGTAAAATAATTAAAAGCCAAAAAATTCTTTGTTTTTGTATTACTTTGCTTGTATTTCAAATAAAAATATGTTAAACCAAACGCAATAGCCGACACAAGTTCGGTCTCCGCCATGCTTGGGTGTACGTAGCACACTGACGCATTCACAAGCATGAAAACTACTTCCAAACACCAAATGAGATTTGTGGACGCTTGGGGCTTGAAGACGTTTGCCAAGGCTTGGCAAGCATGGAAAGGCACCATAAATGTTTTCAATTCAACTGTATGTTTTTTTTTGTATGTATGCTACGCGATATCTTTATCAATTGTGATTTTTCTTTTTATTAAATAGGTTATATTTAAGGGGATCACCATATAAATTTGGAGAATAAATCGACCCCATTAAAATAGGGGATGAAGTATTTAATGTATATATAGACGGCATTTTAGTTGTTAGCTTGAGCTGGTGATATTCATGGTCCATTAAAAAGGGTCAAAAATAAAACAAACATTTACATATACATGCTCGTTGGTTGGGGTTACCCTTAATCTGGCTCATCTTCAAGGAATCGCTAATTTGGTTGGTAAACTTCCATCTAAGGCGTCCCTTAACGACTCTGTCACTAAATTCTGCAACATAAAGCTTTTTCATTGTTTCCTCATTACGCCACCTTTTAGTCACTTCTAACATACTCCTTAATGACCGCATTTCTACAACATTAATTCTCCTCTCATGATTCTGCCACACTTACCTTTCACTACCATACTTCCGCCACAATTAACTTCTGTACACTACTTTGGTAGATTTGCCGTACGTGCCTTTTTGACACATGACTTTCCCATTTACTCTGTACTCACTCGTTCTAAAAAAATAAATTCCAACTTTAACCGGTTCAGTGTGGGTGGCACGCCAGGCGTGCACTCGATTACTTTTGTGTTATGCGTATGACACGCGAGTCGTGTCTTTTTTTTTAAATCGTTATAACTCGCTCAAATTGCTTTTTTGGAAAATTTATCCAGAACAAAATATTCATTATTTTGCAAGTAGTTCATGCCTGCAGCTCGTTTCTGGATATTTTGAAAATTTGAAATTTTTAGGGATTGACAACCTTTTTTTAACGTATAGATGGTACTATTTTTACTTTGTGGGTTTTAAATCATGTTGTGGAAAAATAGTCTAATAAGTAACAAATAATAGGACTCATTGCGATCGCTCACAAACTCAAGTTGTAAATAAATTTCTGGAAAACAAGTCTTAAAGAATTTTAATTCCTGTTAAAAGAAAATGCGTTTGTCTTATTGTTTAATTTTGCTTAAAATGGTTGAACTGCCGTCTTATTACTATCATATGGCCGAATAGACCTACGAAGTACCATGTGCTCTTGTGATATGGTATAAGGTTTGCTTTTGCTTGAAACAGTTCGAAACCGTTCATGCATAAAAAAAGTTCGCTAATAAATAGTTTTTTGTCAATCCGCCGCCGTATAGCGCTGGCGTTTTTTTCCTTTTGAAAACACTTGTTTTGCTATTCTTACTAATTGGACGTCTTCAGATCGACTTTACTTTTACATTTGTATAACATTAAATAATATTTAACATTTATAAATATCAATGAATCATAAACTTTATTTTTTCCAAATTAAGGTTCTTCATTGTTTGATATTTACAAATGTTATTATTAGGTGAAAATTTAATTTAACAAAAACCAAGGTTTTCCAGGGTGATTTAGCTGTACCTACGAGGGCTGCACTAAAAGTATCGGGAATAGAATATTTTCACTGTTCCTGTCATATTAAAAGCTTTTTAATTGAAAACTCCTTGGTTTTAAAAATCGAATACCATTTATTTATTTAAAAAAAGATTCTCGGTCTTGCCACAAGGTTTTATCAAACTTGTTTAGTCGTTGAGAAAATGGAATTGACTCGAGAAAATTCAAGAGCGATGATTTATTATGACTTTCGAAGTGGTTTAACACAAAAACAGTGTGTTGACCGGATTATTTCTGCATTTGGTGATGAATCCCCACGCAAAAACACAATTTATCGCTGGTTTGCTGAATTTCAACGTGGACGTGTCAAGCTCAGTGATAATCCCCGTCAAGGTCGTCCAAAAACTGCAGTCACCCAAGAAAACGTTGATGCTGTGCGTAAGCTGATTGAGGAAGATCGACATGTGACATACCGCGAAATTCATGCAACTTTAGACATTGGCATGAGTCAAATACAAATAATCTTGCATGAACAATTAGGTGTAAAAATGTTGTTTTCCCGATGGATACCGCATTCGCTCTGAGAAGAGCAAAAAGCGGCTCGCGTTACTTGATGCGTCAGAACTCTCGAAAGATTCCACGCAGGATTCTCAAATGCTGTATACAACATCGTATCAGGTGACGAATCCTGGATATACGCGTACGAACCCGAAACAAAAAACCAGTCACGAGTTTGGGTGTTCGAAAATGAGTTAAAGCCAACAAAAATTGTTCGTTCACGCAGTGTTGCAAAAAAAAAAATGGTGGCCACGTTTGTCTCCAAAACCGGCCATGTTACGACTATTCCTCTTGAGGGACAAAGAACGGTTAATGCAGAATGGTATACTAGCATTTGTTTGCCACAGGTCGTTTCTGAACTCCGTAAAGAGAACTGCAACCGCCGCATCATCCTCCATCACGACAATGCGAGTTCTCACACCGCACACAGAACAAAAGAGTTTTTAGAGCAAGAAAACATAGAATTATTAGACCATCCGCCGTACAGCCCCGACCTAAGCCCTAATGATTTCTATACTTTCCCTAAAATAAAGAATAAATTGCGTGGACAGAGATTTTCATCACCTGAAGAAGCTATGGACGGCTACAAAACGGCCATTTTGGAGACCCCAACTTGCGAATGGAATGGTTGCTTCTATGATTGGTTCCATCGTATGGAAAAATGTGTCAAATTTCGCGGAGAATACTTTGAAAAGCAATAAATACATTTTTAAATAGTAATGTTGTGTCACTTCCTTGATTCCCGAAATTTTCAATGCCGCCCTCGTACTTATATAAATGATTTTTTTATAAAACAAAAAATAGTACAAAAGGTTTGTAATCTCTGCATAAAAAAGTCACCTACTCTCAATTTCAAAGAAAACACGTAAAAAACACCTAGTTGTCCACTAAAAAAAAGTATCCTTCCTTTTGTAACGTATTTTTGATATCAACTAAACTTAATTAGGCCTAAACAAGTGAAAAAAGCATAAAAAAGAACATTCCTTTTACACATGGCTGATGGCACAATAGGCGTGACATCAACTTCTGTGCGTTTGACACGCCAGGCGTGTCATTAAATATTTGTTCGCCGCCACAGCTAAAAGTTGTCGAAAATCGGTGCCGCAACGAATCGGTTAAAGAATTATCTAATATATAAAAAATTAAATTTGTTTGTTCGTATTTTATGCGCTGCTATACCGTTCATCAGATTGCGGTAAAACTTTGTCAAGTTATTGCTGGCACTGTACTTTTATACGTGGTAGAGTCATGCTGCAGCTATATAAGTAGTATAGTTGTAGCACGAATGGGTCGGTTTGACCGGGGAAGGAGCGTGGTCCGTGGTCTCACAGAATACTAGCGTAAAATAGCAGTTTAACACTGTGGTGAGTGTAGAGAACCGGCAACGGCGGCCTTAGGGAGTGGCGAACAGGGCAATCGCCCGGGGCCTCGCTCTTGCAGGGGCCTCGCGCGACAACCCAAGCAAATCTTAAAAAATATAGATTTTTAACAATTTTTTTATTTAAAACTTTTATATATTTATATAAATATATAAAAAGAGATGATCAAGAAACCTCTACAAAACATTTATAGACTGAAAGTGACTCTAATCCTAATCCAGCTAAAACATTCC